TAGGCTCGCGCCGCTGGAGGTACGCGTGAGGGCCTGTGCCCGAGCCGCCTGACAGGGGCCGAGGGGAGAGGGGGCCGCAAGAGAAGGCATCCCCGAGCGCGAGCTGACGGGCTGGCTTACTCCCGGGAGCGGGCGGCGGAAGGTGGAGGTTGGTGGGAGAAGCCAGCGCCGAGCCCAGAAGCACACGCAAGCGGGCAGCGCGCTCCGCGGCCAGGTCGGGCGGGAGGGGGGCGCCAAGAGGGAGTAAGCGAAGAGGGAGGAGTGGGAGGTGGGGGCACGAGGCGCCCTTCGCTCCCTCCCTCCAAAGGAGCCGCCGCCGCCGCCGCCGCTCTGCCGCCGCTCCCGCCGCCATTTTGGGTTCGCTTTGCGGAGGGGGAGACGATCCCCGTCTCGGTTGCGGGACCCGCCTCCCCTCAGCGCCCTCCTTTAGCCCTACGCCTTTCCCTTCTCCTCTCTCGCATTTCCGCCAGTCCGCTTACCCGCTGGACGCCTCCTGACAGGCGGGAGGGATCCGCTGTGGATCAAGGGAGGCGGAGGAGCCTGGCGGCCACCCTCTCTCCCCTACTTCCCTGCGCTCTCGTCGCTCCCTGCTCGCCTTCCGACACGGTGAGTGGGACGCTGTGGGCAGGCCTGAGGCCTAAACACTCCCAGCGCGCCCGTGCTCACTTCCCGGGAGCTGCTGTCATCTCCCGGACCTGGACCTCCGGGAGAGCGGCGGTAAGGATGGGGGAGGGGAACTAGGAACGGGGATCCAGAGCTTACCGGGAAGTCCCTCCGGGCGGGGTGAAGGGGCGTCCCTGACAGGCCGACTCTCGGCTTGGGGGAGGGGGCTGGGAAGTCGGCGAGTGGAGGCGGAGCCCGCGGCGGCCCTGACAGGCTAGTTTGTGTGGGCATGGTTGGAGCCCACCCCACGGTCCGGTCTGTGTATTTAAGGGATGAGAGTGGCAAGGGAACTGTTTACCTGCTTGACCAGGCCTGTGGTGTCCCCTGACACATTGACTGTATGTAGGAACGACAGAATGACTTCTGTATTACAAGTTTAATAAACGGAACTGGTTAGTTTGTACGTGGAAAAAGACATGTTTTTGGTCTAGAAGACAGATGGTTTGTTGGTGTGAGGCGTCTGTGTTTGTGTGTGTATGCAAGGATGGAAAGTGTTCAGAAGAGTTTGCTTGTATTTGTATACATGTAATGGAGTTCCCCTTCTAAGTCAGCGTATTTTTTAAAATAAATGTTTGGATGCTCCTTGCAGGTTGCTATTTTAGGGATTGGAAGTACCTAGTTATTTGCGGGCAAAGAGCATTAATGGCAGTATGGTATATAGCATATATGTGTGGGGTTTGGCAGGGGAGAAACTTGGCATGGCCCATTGTGGTCTTAAGAAGAGTTTGTGCCTTTGAATAGAAATGTGACGGTCCAGGACATCTTTAACGGAGTAATTGCTACAAGGCTACAAAGAATGGGTGCTCTTTTCCATTGAAGTGGGTTTATATACACTTTATAATAAAATAATAATACTCTTTCAGTATTTTTCGTGCTATTAAAAATCTCTGTGAAAATGGTAGGATATTTTCTCCCATTTTACAAAATAGGAAATTGAGGCATTATAGAGATAACTTTTTCAAGGTCACATGTTAAATTGAAAACAAAGTTGGCACTATAACAAATATTTTGACTAATACAGTAGTATATTGACCATCTTATGGTGCATCAGAAGGCTTTGGTGGCAAATCTTAGTATTTTGGAAAGATAGGGGCACATATTACTGATTGGATAATATTTGGAAGAGACCAATTGTGTCAGACTATATAGGGAACATAGACTGTCCTTGGTCAGTGTGACCTATAAAATAGATACCCATAACTGTATTATGTTGTGTTACGGAGGAAGCAGCACCTTTCTGACACTTGGAGAGGAAGGGAATGCTTTCACAGCTTAACCTCCTCACAGGTGCTAATGGCATAATTTTAAATCTACTGGAGGAGGGATCCTTTTCCATTCATTCAACAAAGTTATTGTCTGCCATTCAATAAATGGTCCCTGCTTTGAGAATAATCAGAATGTCCTTCTAAATATCCTGGGTGTATATGAGCAAATTGTTTGGATAGTAACGTGTGGTAAGTTGAATGAGGCGGGTAAGTCAATGTGGAATTAAAACCAGAAAACCTTTCATTAAAAAATTTTTCAAGTCTTTCAGAGAATTTATTATGGAAGCATACAACAGTATTTAAAAATTTAACAGAGTGGCTAGTCTTTTTTTTTTTTATTTTAGGGGAGGCATTTATGAGTAAACTGTTTTTGGGATCTGGGAGTTGTTGATATATGTATCTATGGATAGGAACTTCTTGGCTGGGCTAACGGAATTCTTAGAAAGACTAATTTTATAGTAAAGATCCCCTGTATGAATATGAAGGAAGAATGCACAAGTTAAGCCAGCTTAAGTGTATTCCTCTGGAAAATGTTTCTTGAAGATGCTAGATTAGTGGGTTTTCACAGTTTGGGGGGATCACTTACCCTTCTGAGATTCTGATGAAAGACACTGGGTCCTCATGGTTAGAAAATGAATCTAAACTCCATCATATGATTTATGCCTACAATTTCAAGAACTTAAACAGTAATGAAATAGAATCCACGTATATTAGGTTTCACTTGAAAGCTTTTTTTTTTTTTTTTTTTTAGCAAGTTTTGTTTATGGGGTCAAGATGTTGATATGAGTTTAAGGTTAAAGATTCTATGGTAATATTTGAGCGTTTTGACAGGAGAGCTTTAGGATCAGGTTTTTCATTTATTCTTTTTATTCTTCCCAAACTTCTTTCTGTAGTGAGTTAGGAGATAAAGGAATATAATGTAGCATGAGTATCTATGGCTTTATTCGTTTTTTAGGATCTTTTTATTCTCAAACCCTTGAGTTTTGCATTAGGACTGAAGGAGTTCAAAGTTTGTTTCTTGGAGTTTAGCTTAGTTGTAAATAACAATCACTAAGTTAATCCTGTGTAGGGGACACAGTGATGAACAATGGAGGAATCATATATGGCCTTTGTCTTTGAAGAGATTCTAATGTAGTTGAATCTATGAATTATATGATGGGGTGACTGTCAAAAGGACAAGGAGAGAAAGCATATTCCTAGAAGTTGAAATTTAATTAATTGACATGAGTTTTTGTCATTGTTTATTCTTAGGAATGAGTATAAAGTATTGACACTGTATGCAACTTTATAGTTAAAAAATGTGTTTTAGTAGCATCTGATGTTTTTGGATAAAGGAAATATTGGTTTGGAAAGGAGACAGACATTGTTTTTTTTGTTTTGGGATATATTTCTATAGTGGGTTTATATAAAAAGGTCTTAATGTCATTTTGGGGCTATCCATACATTTAACAAACTCTTGTAGGGTAAAAATCTGGTAGCTATTTGATAGGCTATTCATGACTCTAGTACTGTAAATTAATACTTACTGGGCCAGGCACGGTGGTTCACACTGTAAATCCTAGCACTCTGGGAGGCTGAGGCCAGTGGATTACTTGAGCTTAGGAGTTCCAGACCAGTCTGAGCAAGATGTAGCCCTTGTCTCTAAAAATAGCCAGGTGTTGAGGTGGGAGCCTGTAGTCCCAGCCACTCGGGAGGCTGAAGCAAGAGAATTACTTGAGCCCAAGAGCTTGAGGTTGCTATGAGCTGTGACATCACAGCACTGTGCAAAGGGTGACCAAAAAAAATAAAGAGTGAAACTCTTTATTACAAGAAAAAAAGGGCGGTGCCTATGGCTCAAAGGAGTAGGGCGCGGGCCTCATATGCCGGAGGTGGTGGGTTCAAACCCAGCCCTGGCCAAAAAAAAGATTACTGCATTTTTAACAGAGCAGTAAATTTAGAAAGGTGTTTTAACAGGACGGATTATAGGATTTAGTATGATAAAATAGAGAGATATTATGAAAAATGGTCTTATTGTCTTTCTATGTATTGGCATGGTCCCTGTATAAGAATGTTAACATAAATTTATGAAAAGTTTAGTATTTTCTCTAATTTTTAACAGGTAGTAGGTCCATAGTAGGTTTTTTTCATATTATATATGCCATGTATGTGTGTTTTAATGTGTATATATGTACACATATGTGTCATATACTTAACAATTAAAAAAATGCTTGTAGCAACTATAAAAAATGATTCAGAATCTTTGAGGATCAAGAAGGAAAAGGATTTTCATATCCTAGTCGTCTTTTTTTTTCATTATTAAGCATTTATTATGTGCCACACAATGATTTTAAGTGCACATTATTTTACAGGAAAACTGCTGTAATTCTTTTTTTTTTTTTTTTAATTAGTGGTTCAGGTTCATTGAGGGTACAAAGAATTAGGTTACAGTTTGCATTTGTTAAGTAAAGTCCCTCTGTAGTTGTGTCCCACCCCAAGAGGTGTGCCATACACTGTAACCCCCATCCACCTCACTCCTCCCCTCTTCCCACTCCCTTGTTCCTCCTCCCCCCACCTTCAATTGATTTGAATTTTTCTCTTATGTGGGAATGTATTAGACCATCTACTGGCTTCATATTAGAATTGAGTACATTGGATTCTTGCTTCTCCATTCTTGTGATACTTTAGTAAGAAGAATGTCATGTCCTATTCTTGAGTTGTTCTGAAATGCAATACAGAACATAGCTTCCCATTATCTTTCTAGGTACTATGTCTTTACAGTATTAGCAGTACTATTTGAAGCTTTATTCTAAGTCTTCCTCCATGCTTTAATAATGGAGAATTGGGCACCTTCTTTCCTACCCAAATGATCTGCCAGCACACAATGGAGAAATCTTACCATGTATGTAACACTGAGGAAGTGGTCTCCATTTAAAATAACTGTACTTTCAGGGTTCATTTCTGTAGTTTGTTAAATTAATTTCTTACTGCTATTTGAATCATGTACTTGGTATGGGTCTTTTAAAGGTAATATACAGCCTTACCATAATCTGCTATGTGATCTGCTTTGTGCTAGTTTTTCTAGCAGCATGAGATAATCTTAAATTTGACTGCCACAACAGAGAGAAATGCAACACAGTAGAACCTCCATGGCTGACCTCTCTACACTGACCACCTCCTTAAGTTGACCTAATGTTCATAGACTGGACATGCACCCCATGTACATATCAGTACAGTGGACCTAAGTTCCTTATGTTGAGGAACATTGCCCAATTTGTTACTGTCAGCTTGGGTGCTCAACTTACAGAGACTCTACTGTACTTTATTTTCCCTGTGTTAAGAGATGCTGCTAGTTTCTTTTATCATTTTCCTTAACATTAATTGTGGTAATGTTTTTTCCCTTATGTTCTTTTGTATAAAAAGTATTAGATTTTCTTGCTTATTATTTGTCATCTTAGTTAATAATTGTCTAGCTTATATTTCATATCCAACTTTTTCATATGTGAAGAATCTATGAAATTTTACTTTTAGTATTGTTTTTGTTTTTCATAGTTTTTAGTCATTCACCCTCAGATATATGCAAGTTGATGACAGGATGGTATACTTTTTTTTTCTTTTAATATTGCTCATTAAAGGCTGGGCGTG